CCCCCCCCAAACCAAACAAACCCTGAGCAACAATTAAAAACGTTCGAACGTTCGACACTTGGTGGACAGAAGAGGTCTCTATGTCATACCCAAATTTTACTACCCGGTACCTATCTAATAACAAAGATTGTACACGACAAGATCGTTCACTCCGCCTAAAAAGTGTCCACGGAAGTTAGTGCATTGCTTCAGACGGCGCTACAGTCGCTGTTTTGAAGCTCTCTTTTGTTTCTCCAGAAGAAGAATAGGAATAACACCCGCTCGCACACGCACGCGCCCAGGTCGATTGCTGTTCATCGGCCTAAAATTAGCTAAGTGCGGAGTTTTGTTTTTAAAAATATTTATTGACCTCTTGCCTCTCATTCTAAAGTCAAATTAAACGACGAAAACAGTTGCCCCTTCCACCTGAAAAGAGGCTTTTTGTCAGTGTAACCATTTAAAAGGGAGTTTCTCCGCTATCTGAATTCTAATTTGTTAAAAAAAAACTAGTTAGTTTCACTTTGATTTTTTTCCGCACAAGTAGAGTAACCCTGTTATCAAAATGGGCGCTTTTTTAAAAGAGGTGCTATCGAATTTTGAGGACCCTTTTTTAAATAGGCTCAAAGAAAGGAGCGGGCCATCTTGTTGTGTACGATCTTTACTAACAATAAAAGAAAATCGATACCACCAGAAAACCGGCACCAATTCCCATTCTTTTACTGTTTCTCTCTCCTCCAGAGGTGTACATCTGTCTGATCCTGGGACTGAGCGCCTTGTCCGTTGTCCTGGCCATCATCAACCTGAGCATCTACCACAGGCCAGACGACAAACCCATCCCTCCGTTCACCTTCGCCCTCACAAGACTCTGTATGAAGTTGTGCTGTTACAGCGAGGAGCACATTCCGGGGACCTCGAGTATTGTGCATCCAGACAAGAAAATGACAATGGAGCAGAAGCTTAGAAAAGACGTGAGAAAATTATTAGTTATCTCAGAGAGACCCATGTAGCCCTCCCACTGTAGTATTGTGCATATGTTTATTAAGGCCACATCTTGAGATATATTTGTGTTTGTTTCAATGTTTGTTGTGTAATGTACCCCCTCCCCACCCCCTCAAACATGGCATCCTCCGTAAACAATAGGACTGTACCCCGGTAGCAAACCCGCTCGTGCTCACAAACGCTTTTTTAAAATGGCTACACTGACAAAAAACCTCTTCCGGAGGAAAGGGTGATTGTTTTCTTCGTTTAATTTGACTTTAGAATGAAAGGCGTGATCGAGGTCATTAAAATAAAATTTAAAAACCCCTAAAACTCCGCACTGAACGAACCCGAACTGCTGAAGAACAGCAGTCGATCTGCGCACGCGAGGAGGTGCTAATCCTATTCTTCTTCTGGAAAAACGAAAGAGAGCTTCAAAACAGACTGCAGCGCCATCTGAAACAAAGAGCGGACTTCCGGCGGAAACTTTTTTGGCTGAGTGGTCAATCTTGTTATGTAGTATCTTTGGTTTAAGTCAAAAGAAATACACGAAGGGAAAGTATCGCGGCCACTCGAATATAGAGAGACTCGTGGTTTATACTTTATTAGGGTGTAATATTTCCCTGCTAATATGTGTAGTAAGGGCGGGCGCACTGGTCCTCCCTCATCCCCTAAACCTCTCACATGCTGGCTCCAAACGCCACATCCCGGGACCTCGCATCAGCAGGCGTACATAACCATGTGAGGGGGTGGTGTAGTGTTAACACTTCGGAAAAGCTATCTACAACACAGCACCTCTACGATCCTCGTGGATTATGTGGTTAATAAACAGTAGGTAATTTAGTACGTAAGTAAGGGTATAACGTCATGGGCCATGTTGCCACGCTTCCCAGCGAAGTTTTTATAGAAAGCAACGAGCGGCGGCAATGACAGTGCGCGGTCCAGAGTACAAGTCTACACGTATCAAGGCGGTTTCCTATGATGTAAAAATTAAAAAAAAAAAAAAATACGAAATAAAAAACAACATCAGGCTGAAAGAACCCCACCCCCA